CCCCCCAAACCCTCCCCCATAATCCCAGGCTCACTTCGTGAGGTACTAAACGAAGCTCCCACACGGGGAGCTTTCGTGATTTCTGGGGAGCACGCCCAGTGTGGATGCAGATCAGCGTTCCAATCCGTTCGTGTGCGGGAGATCTCTTTCCGAGCCTGCAGCAGCCAAGACGCACATTTTCTTCGGAGCTGTAATGCCATTGAAAACAAAGTCATGCTGGGGAGTCAACTCCATCGCCCTCGACAAAAGACACCACCGTGAAGGGGTCCATTTTGCCATATGCATCCTCAGCCAACAAGAACTCTACCATGACACTCACTGCCGTGGCTGCTTCGCCGCTGACCTGACATCGCGCCATCTGTTAGCAACGTCTTGTCGCTTCTTTTTCCTCTCTGGCGCATCTTTTGTCGCTGGCTTCCTCGAAAGACGAAGGGCTTTCCTGGACAGAGAGGCTTCGGTAGGACTTTGCATTCAGGAAACATACTCAAAAAACATGCCTGGACTTCTAGAAGTAAGACAGCTGGCAAGCAGTCAAGTATTGCGAGATATTATTTCATGATTTTATGAAATTTAATGCCAAGAAGCACCAAAGCCAAACGCGAGCGACGGAAGGAGGAAGGCACCCAAGCTGGTGCCAGTCGCTTGAAGATGGCGATGACAATGGCTGTTCCCACCTGATCCCAAAAGCAGCTGGACAGCAAGGGGCTCACGCAGAGAACAAGAAGAGTCTGCGGATGATGCTGAGGCGAGTACTGGGGTCAAAGGAGCTACAATGATGCAGCCGATCGGAATGAACAGCAGGATGTCTTTTGCAGCACGCCGCAGCAAATCAAACTCCACGTCGGCAAAGCCCAATCGCTTGCCCTGCTCACATTCCTTGTGCTGGAGGCTTTGAAGCAATGAAGATGCATAGGCCACGTCCTGGGCGATCATTGAGACGCTGTCCATGACTTCACGAACTTCCCTCCTTGCCACTGCCGCGGCATAGCGACAAATTGGCCCAAACGCGAACTCCGGTTTCACCAGATCCGCTTCGAAGCGATCTTGTTGGATATAAGTAGCCAGCGCCAATACGAACTCTTTGAACTCAGACTTCGTCACGGCACCGTCCCTGTCAGAAGCTATCTGAAGTACCAGCCCAAACGCGTCCAAGAAAGGCTCCTGGCTTCTGCAAGCAACCTTCTCCCAAATTGGCCAAAGGATGGAAAACACTTCTCCGTAAGTCAATGTGCCGCTGCCTTCATCAAACTCCTCGAACAATGCGTCCTCAGGATTCAGATCGGAAGCGTCATGCTCACCCGCGATTTGTTGCAGCAGAATGCTGGCAGATGTCTTGAGCACTGGCGTAGTGCCCTGTGCTCTCTTCTGCCTCTGCTGTTCTAGCTTCTGCCAACCCTTGAATGCCCGCCGCCGTTGCTTTTCAGCTATCGCCGCCCAAGCGCGAGCGAACCTCCGCCGGGGCTTCCGGAAAGACGTTGGGAAGAGAGATGGGGCGTTTGAATACAGCAGCATCCACATGAGAATCTTCTGTCCGTACGTGCAGCGCGTCATAGCTATGGCACAGTACGGCAGGCAGGCTGACAAATCTGTGAAGGTACGCTTCAACATGGCACGCTCCATGTTAGAGAGCTCATGTCCAAATGCGCGCTTCTTCAGCAAATGGAAGCCGTACCGCAGATCGCGGAGCAATGTGACAATGCTGTCCGCAACATCCCTCGCAAATCGTGGCTCCACCTTCCCATCAGCAACCGTGCGGGTAGATTTGTAGTTATTGGCCACCTCCACCAGTGTTGCAATGTATTCGGTAAACTCACCCAACGTAAGGCAACCTTGGCGACGTCGGTCTATCGCAACCATCAGCGTAGACCTGAAAAAGAAGACAGTGGAGAGCGTGGGAATGACGCAGGGGTGGAAGAGGCAGACCACGGCTAGTAGTGCTTGTATGCACTAGTCAGAAATGCAAGGTGATACCAAAAACTTACCTGCAGCTCCGGCTGAGCTACTTCTTGGGTTTGATACTCTCTGAGCATCCGACGCATCCATACGAAAGTCTTCTGTGTTTCTCTTGGCGAGGTTCAACTGCCCACTCCAAATTGCCTGCACGATGCTGAGCACACTGCCTCAGGATAACAAGGCGTTGAAATGCCCCAGTCGCTTGCAAGAAGTCTGAGTCTGCAACTGTGCGAAACGTTGCCACTTGCAGATGCATCCAAGTCCTCTGCAAGGAAAGGATAAACAGACCGTGCGTGGCGTAGCTGCACTGACAGCAGCGTCCCTTGCTGCATCTTGCCACGCCGCCGCCCTTGCCTCGAAGAGCTTCCGAATGCCAGACTGGGCGGTTGCAGAACCCGGCGTGGCTTCAAAGACCCCCAGGACGGCAGCATCCAGCTCCTCCGAGTGAGACTCGACTTTGCCTACTGAAACAGCTTCTGCTTCTGCCGGTCGGTCCTCGGACGGCGCCTCGCCATACAAGCTCCAGTCCTGGCTCACACTTTTCCGCATGCCATAATCATGCAACGCCCCTCCAACTCCCACATGACGTAAAGTCCTTGAAATCTGGATGTCGCCTCAGCTCCCGCCGGGCTAGCAGCAGTTGCAGGCGCAGTGGGGAGAACGGAGATGGGAGCAGCGAGGGCGCCGATGATTTGATGACAAGGAAGAGGCAAACCTAAGCTTGTGAGATTGCAGCAGATACAGTAACCGGGGCACATGCAGTTCAATGTACCTTCGCAAAGAAGAAAAGACACACAAACGAAACTGCATCGCTCCGTGCGTCTCCGGAGCATGAACCGGCAAGGCCAACGGCAAGGCACAAATTGCCGTAGAGGGAACCAAAGCAACAACATCGCCAAAAAATCGGCGAAGCAGGCAGCTCTCCCAATCGTCCAGCTCCTGTCCCCGGCAGACTTTGGCCAAAAGCCCGGAGTTGAACCTCGTCAAAGTATGACACTACACTTCTCATCGGGTTGAGCAATCCTTGATTTGCAACTCTTCTTCAAGTGGCTGTTTCTTGCTAATTGCTAATTTGAAGTGGATAAGTTCGCCATCAAGGCTTTTGGACAGGCATGAAATGCCCTGATGAAGGTCCATCCTTTCTTGAGCTTGAGCAGCCATGCAAGGAGCAGCCCGCCTGATGTCGCGGCTTAGCATGTCGATGCTGTCTGATAGCTCAGACAAAGCCTGGCCAATCGTGCCTTGGGGCAAGATTCGGCACGCTCCAACCTGCGAAAAAACGAAGAAGCTGAGCGGCTGAGAGCATGCAGAAGCAAAGGCAACGTGAGCTGCCAGGTTGGTCTCTGCATCCATCGTTGGACTGCCCCCCCTGCTTTGCCAACCGGGTCAAAGAACGTGAGGTTTCGGAACCAAGTTCCGCTGCTTACCACTCGACGTAGAGCCGCCTTGGGAGGCAGTACAAAAAGCTGGTGGGGGAACTTGTTTGTTCCAAGCCTCAGTGCCTCCACTCGCGGCACCTGCAAGTCTTGCTTGGAGACTTTTATCAGCGTGGCCGCGAACTCTATGAATTCATCGACCGAGAGCATGCCATCCTTGTCACAGTCTGACTGGATTATGAAGGCGGCGATGTTGTTTTGTAGCTCCATCTGCAGCTGTAAAGGAAGCTTCAACGGACCTTCCCAGAGCGTCTGCCTAAGCTGACAGTTTGCAAGTGCTTAAGGAACATGTCAGTCCCAAACTGACTTGGTGCAACGCGGGCTGCATAAACTTCAGAACAACAGCATAGCGCACGGTGGTGTTGCCTTGGCTCAGCTGCTCAAAGAGAGCTGCTGCTTCTGATCTCGCCGTTGAATAAAGCGGAGCTTCTTCAAGGATCTGCAGTATCGACACGTTTGAAGGCCACGCATCTCCGAGTTCCTTGTGGAAATCGTTTCCCAGCTCTACGCCACGTTCCGATGCAATCGAAGAATCCTGGCTGGACGTAATCTCCTTGGCTGCTCCGTATCCAGTGGATGCGGGCCTCCGGGGTTCTCGTTGTCCATCAAGCAACGAGAAATCCCGGACTTGCCACAGGCATGCAATGCCAATGAGAGCCAGCCGAAAGGAGCGACAGCGCAAACGTTTTCCCATCGCCCGTCCCTCATGGCCGTCATGGCCGGTCTAGCTGCCCGGACACTGGCGAAGGGCACCAAAAGTCTACAGTACTATGCTGCAAAAAAAAAAGCTGGATGACTGGACCGCTAGATCAATTTCTGCTTAGGCGGGTGAGAAGCCCGTACTTTTGGACTAGCTTGCAAAGCTGGATGAGCAAACGTGCTAGTAACGGCCTCTGACTTGCATGCACTGGAAGTGACCCAGAATCCCACATACACAGAAGCAGCGCTTCAGCGTTGCTGATCTGGTACCCAGCCCAAAGACCTGGTGCCAATGATTTTCCACGTCAAGTCGCATGCATCCAGTGAACAATGCTTGCACATCTTAGGTGCTCATCAGCTGATCACTTGCAAACCTCCATCTATACCCTACCAGCATGCAGCATGCACTAGCTCCAGTAGTATGGATCCCCATGTGTAATGCCAGCATGTGCAAGCCTGAGCCTGTGGGTGAAACAAGGCGATTGCAACGCCCAAAGGAAACACGGCGGCACTAGCGACGTGCAGATTGTCATGGGGCATGTTGCCGTTTCTGCAGCCACCAACCTTTCAGAATCTTTCAGACTTTGCTTCCTGCTGCCTTGCAAGAAGATCACATCACACCGCCCCTGACGCAAGTGAAATTAAACATCCAGCAAATGCATTTGCACGCGCTTCCACAAGAGGTGGGGTTATCACACATCTAGACGCTGCATCAGGCAAAATATTAATCAATCGGGGAATACATCACGGAATACACATCCCCAAGTAGACGCTGTGTTTTTGAGAGCCGGAAAGAGTGTGCAGAAATATCCCGGCTCCCATCAGGCACCAACCTGATGCTGTTCCAATCAGCATGTAAGCGCTGTCCTAGTCAGCATTTTACACTTCATGCTGCGTCACAGCAGTCTTGTCTGAAACGTTGTTTCCCAAGTAGACGATAAAACAAATGGAACCACGTGAGCAAGATTGCTGCAGGGAAAGGTAGCGGCGCCTGCATGCCCGCCGCCTCAAGCCATTAACCATCCTGCTCTTCTTGTTCAGTCTGGAGCTCTTTCAGCTGCTGCGTCAGACTCGTGACCTGGCTTGGGCTGCCACATGCATGCCTCGAGCTCCCTTAAGGTC